CAAAATGCGACATATTTTTGTATTTTTTTTTATTAATTTAGCAAATAAACATGCACAAGCAAATACAAATAATTATTAAAAATATCACAAAATATCACAAAATTGCACACCAAAGAAAAATCATTTTATTTTTGGATTTTTTGGGAGTAATTCTCATATTGGGCAAAAATCACGTGCTTACACATACATTAGCTTCAATGAGCCATTTTGTTCTGTAGACCCTCTATACTTTCTCCAAGATATTAGTTCTAAGCTTCTGCGAGTGACTTTTTTGTCTTACAACACGACATTGTAACTGATCTAAAGCTTATGCCATAGACCTCGACATTAGGCAGCGTTTTGTCTGCATTTTCATTGTATCTACTTACAGAAGAAAACATTAACTGCTAAGCTAAGGTACCTCTGATGTATCAGCAGATGCAAACGCGGCTTCCAAATAAGACCTTTTATTGTATAGATCCTCTAACTATGTTCACCCGACTCTCTACTATTTTGATTACTTTGACTGAAAAAATTTGTACTAAAATCTTGATTACCAAATGCCACCTTCCTAAACCAACTTATTTCTGCAGATTGTAGTGCAGAGCCATGTATTGCACTTTCACCAACTTTCATCCCGTTTGACAGATCATGCATAGCCATACCATCAAAAGCTCTCATGATCTGCGAAGCATAAGTATGATCGGAATATAAATGCCAATCACGAGATGTCTTAAGGGCGTTTCTGGCATATGTTTTCATTCAATAAAATAGAACAAAACTTACCTGTCCCATTGCTGGTCTCTTTGAAGCTGAGTGGCGCACACAAGATGCAGCAGCCTCAATCATTCGAAAAATCTCACTGCCAACGTAGTTCTTCTCAAGACGCGGATCTGCCAACTGATCAAATTCCTCTTTTTCAAGTGCCTGACTAAGCAAAGGTCGAGCCTGGAAGAGAAGAAGATCAAGTCACCGTATTATATGACTTTTTTGCGAGTGATACAATTACAAAATCATTTTATGCCAAATTCAAGTTTAGCAAAGGTAATTAGTACCGGTTTTCAGTTCTAATCAAAAGAATGAAAATCTTCTCAGACACATCATAAGAATATTGCCATACCTCCTAAGCAAAGATAAATATATTTGTTATGGCACTAAAAGCTTTTTTAATTGGCTATTGGCAGAGACTGATGAGAAAAGAAACTAAAGATATAAAGAAAAAAAAGCATAGTAAATGGAAGTCACACGCTCAGCATTATCGTAAAAGATACTAGTTTCCCTTTGCTATTGTTATTGGTTTTTCAGTTTTCTAACATTAGAGGATCAATGAAATCAAAGCAGATTACTTGACGAGCTGTTTTATTGTTGCAAAACAACAAAAGCAACTATAGACTAAATGTTTTGGGTGCAGAAAAAGATTGATACATGTGATGACCCAAAAGGTTATCTTATGATTAAAAACTAAATTCTGTGTTCCAAGACCTTCAAAACCTCATTTTATCCCTCCTCGATTTGTGTGCGCAGTCCAGGCGTGTTTCCAGAAAGCTTTTATGTTGAAAGTTGATGAAAATAATATTTTTTGCTAAAAAGTTAATTTTAGTTGACTTCGGTTAACATTTTTGGTAAACGGACCCGGACTTGTGTTTTGACAGTCCCGGTGGGTCCGTATCGAAATATGGGACCTGGGTGTATGCCCGGAATCGAATTCCGAGGTCCCTAACTCGACAAATGCATTTTTGATCAAAATTGAAACACTTGAAAATCTAATGGTTTTAAGAATTGGGTTAATGTTTGATCTTTTTGGTACCGGGTTCGTATTTTGGTTCCGGAGCCCAGTACAGGTTCATTATGATTTTTAAGACTTGTCTGTGAAATTTGGTAAGAAACGGAGTTGGTTTGACGTGATTCGGACGTCCGGTTGTGAAAATAGAGATTTTAAAAATTTTCTTGAAAATTTCATTCAATTTGGTGCTAAATTCGTAGTTCTAGGTGTTATTTCGGCGATTTGATCGCACGAGCAAGTGTATGGTGTATTTAGACTTGTGTGCATGTTTGGTTTAGAGCCCCGAGGGCTAGGGTGAGTTTCGGATAGGCTACGGGATGTTTTGAACTTAGAAAAATCTGGTTTTTTTGGCTTCAGCTGTCATCTGGTGTTTTCTTCTTCGCGTTCGCGAAGGGACTCTCGCGAACGCGAAGAGCAAGCTTGTCTGAGGAAGATTTTCTTCTATGCGACCGCGGAGACCGGGTCGCGAACGCGGAGCATTGGGGGCATTACCCTTCACGAACGCGACTAGGCTCTCGCGAACGCGTAGCATAAGGGACCTGGGGAGGGGATAGTCGTTCTTCTACGCGAACGCGAGCACTAGCTCGCGAACGCGGAGGCCAGGGGGAGTTGCCTTCGCGAACGCGGAGGCCAGGGGGAGTTGCCTTCGCGAACGCGTAGTAGGACTCCCGAACGCGTAGGCCTTTGGCCGCTGCCTCCCACGATCGCGGCAAGCCCTTCGCGAACGCGAAGAAGGCCTGCCCAGTGATTTTAAAACAAACCTGAAACGAAAATTTCTTCAAAATTTCATATCTCTTTCATTAGAACTCGACATAGGGCGATTTTTGAATGGGGAATTCAACACGAAATCATAGGTTTGTACTCCTTAACTCATTTCCTTCAATTTCCATCATCACCCATTAGATTCCTAGTCCTAAATTCTTTCAGGGTAGAATTAGGGATTTTTGGAAGAATTGGGGTTTTTGCAAATTGGGGATTTAGACCTCGATTTGGGGTCGGATTACGGAACTAATTACATATTACGGCTCGGGGGTGAATGGGTGAACGAGTTTTGGTCCGAACCTCGAGTTTTGACCAAGCGGGCCCGGGGTCGATTTTTGACTTTTTAGGGGAAGTGTTGGGAAACCTAAATTCATATATTGAAATTGATTTCTTTAGCAATATTTGATGTTATTGAGTTAATTGTGGCTAGATACGAGTGATTCGGAGGTGGATACTAGAGGAAAAGCGGTAATTGAGCATTGAGTTACCCACAGAGCGAGGTAAGTGTTGTGTCTAAACTTGGCTTGAGGGATTAGGTATTGTTGCCTATTTGCTACGTGTTTGGTTGTTGAGTACAACGTATAGGTGATGTGACGAGTACCTATGCGTTGTTGTCGAGTCATAGCATGTGAGTGAGTCTTATTCTTGTAATCGTTGTATTCTTTATTCATATTGTTCATGCTTAGACTAGTTATTCTTTATGTTGAGCAATTCTTATCATGTTTTATGGAATTTGATATTGATTGAGTATTGACTCAAAGTTGAGGTTGACATTGTGGAACAAAATGTTGAAGTGAGACTTGTATTTGATAATCCTATCTCCCCGTTGTTATTCTTCTTGTTTTGGTGAGGCAGAGGGTAAAGCACGAAGGGTGATGCCGTGCCATTTTATATTCATTATCATGTGAGGAAGAGTGTAAAGCACGAAGGATGATACCGTGCCATTTCATATTCATTATCATGTGAGGAAGAGTGTAAAGCACGAAGAGTGATGTCGTGCCATTCTATATTCATTATCATCGTTTCTTTCATTCATTGTGGTGAGAATGAGAGTAAAAGCATGAAGGGTGATGTCGTGCACTTGTTTTTGCTATGTTTAATATTTCCATTGGTGCAAAGCATGTTGTTTGCTATGTTTCTTTACTATTACCATTTTCATGGTCTTGTACTCCCCTCAGCATGTTTCCCCCTCCCGTTATTATCTGTTTAGCTTCTATTAGTTGTTATTGCTCGTATACTGTTTAACTGCACAGATTTATGGTGTTGTCTTGTCCTAGCCTCGTCACTACTTCGTCGAGGTTAGGCTCGACACTTACCAGTACATGGGATCGGTTGTATTGATACTGCACTCTGCACTTTCTGTGCAGATTTCGGTACCGGTCCGAGCTGATCCTGAGTCTAGCTGCTGGCTTCATCTAATCGGAGATCCAAGGTAGGCCTGTTAGCGTCCGCAGGCCCTAGCGCCCCCTTCCATACATTCACTTTACTGTTTCTTTTGTATCGCAAACAGTTGTATTTCCTTCCGACATTTGTTGTAGTAAAATCTTAGAAGTTCGTGGATTGTGACTCCAGCTTTACATATTAAGACTCTTATGGATTTCCGCACTCTTTTCAACTTGTTATGGTTTAATTATTGTTAATCACTGAAAGGTTTAAGAATTGGTTTAATGATCTCTAACGTTGGCTTGCCTAGCAAGTGAAATGTTAGGCGCCATCACGGTCCCGACGGTAGAAATTCCGGGTCGTGACAATACACCCTCCATCTCAATTATATGAGATACACCCTCCATCTCAGTTTATACGAGTCTCTCTTCATTTTGGGTTTCTTTAGTTTGGGGCATTCAAAAATGTTTGACATTATTTTATTAATACGTATATTCTATACTCCCTCCATCCCGTTTTATGTGACGGTGTTTGACCGGGCGTGGAGTTTAACACAAAAAGACTTTTGAAACTTATAGTCTAAAATAAGTCATAGACATTTGTATTGACTATAAATCTGCTCGTTAATGATAAAGTGAGAAGTTTAAAGTTAAATTTTTTCTGAACATGGAAATATGTCATTCTGTTTAGGACAGACTAAAAAAAAAAGTTGCCACATAAAATAAGGTAGAGAGAGTACTGCTTCTACAACTCTCGAGAATTCAAATTAACTCAACTATTAAAATTTGAAACTTAATTTGATGAGATGTTCTATATCAAATTAACTTTTCACTTGTTACTTCAATATATTCTTCCACTACCACCAATATAATATACAAGTTAAATGAACAATTTAAACTCTATGTCTAGTCAAATATTGTCATATAAGAATGACAGTATTAGTGAACTGAGTCACATAAAATGACAGTATTGGAGAAAAGTAGTATTAGTGAACTGAGTCATGGCAAACTGAAATTAAATGCATCACAAACCATAAGAATGAAAACCATACCCTCTATGAGACACATAACAGAAGAAAATCTGCCTTTTCAGATATCAGTGCCGACAGCCCTCATTGTGGACGAAATACTTGACAACAAAATGACCTAACTAACAAAGAGAATCATGTGGGTTTAGATACCGTATTTTGGTTAGATTCAAGCTCGCTGCTAAATTGCTCCAAGATAATTAATCTTGGCACAAGAGACTTCTCCTTCAAAATATATGATTGCCAAATCTTAACGAAACAAAAAGGAAAATGAAAAAGAAAGTAGCAGTGAAATTCCTTTTGAGGAGAAGTTAACTTTCTGGGACTGTTCACATTAAAGCTCGAGGTTTTATTCTTTCCAGAAGTCCATGACATGAGACATAAATGATCGTTTAAGCTGGTTTAACATTTGGCGAAAGTTTGGGTGAACCTCACCAAGAACAGCTCTCAACTCTTGAATTTAATTTTCTAATGAATTACGTTGAGGGCTACTATATAGTTGCTTCAGCAAATGAAATGTAATCATTTGGAAATTTTCTATTATCAAGACGGTAAATGCGCTTTTGGTGCCCCATATCATATTATTTTTCAAGATGCTACTAAAAGACATGCTTTTTGATTAGTCATCATGCTTATCACAATAAAGCACGGCATATAATTGATTAGAACAATAGCTAATGGATGACTAAATAACAGTTTCCTAAAACCCACATCAAACTACGAAATAAATCTATAAAGTCAGATAAAACTATAGATGACATCCATTAATGTGGATTCTGAATTCTTTTCAACTAAGATGTATAAAACTTGAACTCTTATGCTTGGGTAAAAGGCCTATCATACAAGACTCTGGAATGCATAAACTATTTGAAGGCTATACCTAATGAAATGGATAATCAATAGTGGATTTCAGTGTTCTAGCTTTTAGGTAACAAGCTTGATATGTGAGATAAACTTTGGTGTGCACAAGAATAATCATGCATTTAGATCCAAGGATACAAATGAATCCTTACAAAAACCATGCAAGCACCTAACATGTCTCAGTTAGCATCCAAACAAACTAAACATTGTGTATGTTCCACATAAGCTGGTACAAAGTTCCAGTGCCAATATCCTACACAACAGCCAATCTCTCACCTCTTTTGACTCTGGATACCAAAAGTCCCCTTGGTCTATTTTGACTCCATTATATCTCATTTTGCCCTTATCAATCACTTAACAAGTCGATTATATGAAATCCAAGTTCCCCTGGTAGCCCCAATACTGTCCTTCTCGGATAAGGGGAAGGGGATTGAGGTAATCTAAACAGGTGTTCCAGGTCCAAGAGAAATATGGTAAACACTAGGAAGCCAACTATTGCACAAGATTATTCTCCTCAAAAAACACAGTTCACAGTGGAGTCATTATGTTTAAACTCTAAGGTGTGTCTGCTTCCAAATTGCCATATGAGCTTTCTATCCTATAAACATCAAGAAAGACAAGGTCACTATCTGTCATGAAAATACAGAGCTCTTACAACAAAATAGCAGCCATAATTCAGAATCCATCCAAAGATGAAAAGCTTTTGACTCCACAAAAAAAGCTCAAGGATACTTTAGTATCAAAATTAAGAAGTCATTCGGGTAGTTCGAATGATCAACTAATAGGGCATTACAGGAATACTCTTTTCATGACAAATAAAAGGATTCTGTGCTCTCTAGTGGCTAATATTTCCATGTTTCTCATCAATTGATAATCTTTATCTAGGCTTACAGCATCACAATCTCATTCTTCTCAGCAAGGCCTCGCTGTGTGGTAGAAAAGGGTAACATAAAGAAAAGGAGCTTCACTAGAAGACCTACAAGAGGCCCACTGTACAGTAGCAAATGGTGGTTTCTTCAAACATCAGCTACCAAGTTCTTGTGCAGTGTGGGGAAATGACAATGAGGAACAACCAAATCCTGACTCAAATGAAATGTAGAGGTTATCCGAGCTAAATGGGACTAAAATAGTACGACATACTGTCTGCATGCAGATATGCAAGTTTCTAGCCTTAAGGTTGGATAAATGACCAGTGTAATTATTTCTAACAAATGGTAATAAAAGAGGCCTCATGGAAGTAAGGACAGGTTGGCTAGAAACATACCCACTCAACTAGATTCTCCTGCCCTGAAGGCTGAGATGTATCCACTGGCTTCCTTCCAGTAATCAGCTCCAGAAGCACAACCCCAAAGGAATATACATCAGATTTTTCAGTCAGCTTGCCAGTCGATGCATATTCAGGAGCCATGTATCTGAGTTCAATCTAAGGAATTAGAATAAATATGGGCAATTGAAAAAGATGGAGTTTAATATAGTAATTCCTATGCTTCCAACTTAATGCAAATGTTGGCACTGAAACATACCCAAATGTTCCAACGACACGTGTTGTGATATGACTTTCTGCATCCTGAGCTAATTTAGCCAGTCCAAAATCAGAAACCTAGAGAAAATAAATTAGTTGTAAAGGGTCAGCTCGCAAGACAAAGAATGTAAATATAGGATTTTGAGGACTTGGACATACCCGTGCCTCAAAGTTATTATCCAAAAGAATGTTCGATGACTTAATGTCTCTGTGAATAATACGAGGACAGCCTGTCACCCACACCAAAGAATGAGTTAAAAACCAAAAAACAGAGTATCATACTTGAACTATAATTAAAGACGAATTAGAGCACCGCACTTGCATTATGACTTCGTTAAAGTTTCATGGCCTGCAGTGGCTCAAGTAACTAGAATGAAGGAAATGAGCATTCATGATCACAAAAATAAAGTAACTTCATCCAATCTAGTTTCTTCAACTCTTCAATTTAACAGTATAACATAAGAACTCGACCAGTGAAGTTTTACTCAGATGCTTGTCATGGGACTATTGGCAAATCCAGAAGCATATTACGCATTACTACCGCAAAGCCTGATGATGTCACTTTAGCGTGAAAGATATACTCAGCATTTCAAGGAGACTATGTGTGCTCGTGGATTAAAATATTCCTACAAAGGAATGTTATTTCATGGTGCAAAATGTTTATATAATCGAGATAATATACGAGATGAATAAAACCTTGAGGACACAATTGCAAATTGCATAAGTTATAGCATTACATTACAATAAGGAAAATTCCAACAAAAAGATCTTGCTACTTCCATTGAGCTTAAACTATTTATTTGTTCCGTTTTCTCTTTTTACTTCAAGTCCTCTTATAGGGATAATAGGAGAATATTGGCTTTGGAGTAGCTTAGGTTGCTTCCATTAACCTATCACAGTTGTTCAACTAGTGGAGTAGGGATCAATAAAATGAACCGTAAGTGATGATGAATAGGAACACACAATCTCATATTGCAATCAGATTCCCCCATATGGTAATGTTTTCAACCTTTGCCTTTCTCTCTTTAACTTTCGGGGGAAGGAAACATGAGACATATTTTGTTCAACCAAAAACGACATGAAGTTAAGATAAACACGGATAACTCAAAAGGATTAAGGAGCAGATCACTAATTATAATCTTCGTGCAGATATGCTATTCCAAAATCATGCCAAACATTTACATAATGACCTCAGAACCAAATTTTAAACTGCATTAGCAATATCATTACTGTGTGTAACCGTCTCATCTAAAAGCTTAAGCTGTTAGAGAGAGCACACTTTTAGTTACTTAATTATGTCTTCAACATGCCCCTTCACGTGCGGGCTTGATTCTTTTATGATGAGCTAATCACGTGGAACTTTTTTGATAATTGGCGGTGAGACTCGAACCCAGGACCTATGTCTACTCTGATACCATGTTGAAGTGTGTGACCGTCTCATCTAAAAGTTTAAGCTGTTAGCGAGAGCACACTTTTAGTTACTTAATTATGTCTTCAACAATTACATCACAAAAAGGAAATGCTAACTGCAAGGCCTTCTACTTCTATTGAGCTGAAAATAACATTCTTCCTTTTCTCTCTCTTTCTATTTTCCTTTTACTAATGTCCGCTTTTAGGGAGAATAGGAGGAAGGTGATTGTGGAGATTAAATTTCTCTCCATGATCCTGCGACAGCTTTAGCGCTCATTAAAAAATAATAAGCATGACGAATAGGTGTAGAAAATATCAACTGCAATCAGCTTCCCTGTTGTGGTAAATTTTTTAACCTTACTTTTTATTTTTTTAATGTAGGGGGAGGTCTGCTCACAATGGAGAAATGAAGTGAATAAAACATGGATAACTCGTAAGGATTAAGGGAAGAGAACACTATTACAATCTTCATGCAGATAAGCTATTCCACGAGCTGCGCCAACAGCAATTTTAACACGTGTTGTCCAATTCATGACAGGCCTCCCTTGTGCTGTAAATTGCAAGTATCAACAGCTAGCTTTAGTGACCACACATAACAAATGAAATAATTAAATCTACAAATGTTAAGTTTACCATGAAGATGGAAGTAAAGGGTATTATTGGGAACATAGTCATAAACAAGGAGGCGATTCTTCTCTGAAATGCAATAACCTACAAGTGAAACCAAATGACGATGGTGTATCCGACTAATGATTTCAACTTCAGCTCTGAATTCTCGTTCCCCCTGGCTCCCACCAATATTTAGCTGCTTTACTGCTACATATCTTCCATCTGCTAGACATCCTTTGTATACAGAACCAAATCCACCCTTCCCTAATAGATTCTGTGCTGAAAAATCGTTCGTGGCCTCAACTAGTTCTTGATAAGTAAACCATGTCTTTGAACTGCTGAATCCACAAGGGTCCCCTGGAGAACCGAGGAAATTGGAGCCAGTTCCATTTATCTCAGGTGTTGATTCCTCGACCTTCAATAAAGCAGACTCTGTACACAACTTTCACATCTTCTAAGAATTCACTTGAAAGGTCTCAACTACCAATAGTACATTGATCTTTCTTGCAACACTGAATAACAAATTGAAAGGAATTATTTGATAGTTTCTGAAAATTTACCTGATTTTGGAGTGGAGCACACAGAGATTGTCTTGACATTACCAATATTATAGCCAGAATTCTTCTTTCGCTTCCGTATACACCATCCAGCTGCTGCGATAAGACCAACCAATAGAAGAACAAGTACGATGCCGATGGAAACTGTCCCTGCAGTACCATTGCCACTACCACCTGCAGACTTTGAGCTTTCTGCTGGATGGTTTCCAGAACTATGGTTACTAGCACCACCTGAAGGAACTGGTGATGAAGGAGGAGTAAGAGAAGGTTGTGAACCGTTAAAGGATGGAGGTGGTGATAGTAGTATCACAAATGTTGGCGGTGATGAGTCTGAAGGGGAATCAGAAGATGGTGAGGTACTGGGAGGTAATGTAGCTGGTGAAGGTGGTGAATCTTTAGGAGGGCCTGAGGCTGGGGAAGGAGGCGGATTTTCTGATGGCTTAGATGTTGGGGATGGAGGTGAATTTGAAGGTGAGTTGGATGAAGATGGTGAAGGCGGTGAAGGTGGTGAAGGTGACGAACCTTTTGGAGGTTCAGGAGATTGTGGTGGAGATGAATTTGAGGGTGATTTTGGAGCTGGAGGAGGTTCTGGATTCTGTACGGGTGGCGGAGGTGACAATGTAGGGGGAGGTGATGCCGGTGATGGAGGTGAACTTGCAGGAGGAGAAGGAGTTGGTACAGGTGGAGGTGAGACAGGTGGTGGATCAGGTTCTGGAGGTGGTGGTGAACTAGGTGGTGGACTAGACGGTGGAGGTGGTGGCGAACTAGGAGGCGGACTAGAAGATGGAGGTGGCGGCGAACTAGCTGGCGGAGTAGAAGATGGGGGTGGTGATGACCTAGCCGGTGGGCCAGAAGGTGTAGGTGGAGGACTAAAGGTTGGAGGTGAGACATCGGTTGGAGGAGTAGATGCTTCAGGAGGTGGTGGAGAAGCCATTAGTGGTCAATGCTGGTGATAAGGCTAGAAGAGGCTATGTTACATTTGTTGGAGGACAGTGACTTCCGGCATGAAGATGTTGCATTTGTTGGAGGGGATTTTGCGGGTAAGGATGGAGGAGAGGTCACAAACAATGCAGTGAACTGAAGGCAGTTAGTGGAATTCCAAAATCTATAACTTGGAGGTGGAGAAATGGTTTAAACATCTCACCACCAACAAAGCGAGCTACATGTACTACAGTTCTTATACAATTTCAAAGTTTTCAAACATCAATGAAAGAACATCCATTCCACCGAGAATTCCAAGTAAAGTGCAGGCTTCCTGAACTTATTTCATAAAACTAAGATCCCTAATAAGCAATAAACTGCTTCCTCTTATTCCAAGATTTATCCACAACATCCAAATTCGTCAACCAATTCACTCATACCATACAGACAGCAATTTTACTCCAAACCCAAGTTAAACACCTAGGATTTCAACACAACAAAAGTTTTAAGCTTTCGCGTGAAATCAAATCTTGCCCACTACCCAGGATTCAGTTTCAGGTCTAAAGCAGAATCCAGCTGACAAATTTCTCCTTTAGCTAATTCACAAGAACAATCCCTCACACACTGCACAGACCCTTATATCAGAGTAAAAGATCAATCTTGTAAAGAAGGCAGTAAGCAAACAATATCCACAACCAGACACCCAAATCAAGAAAAGACGGAGAAAATCCAAGATTTTGTCCTTGCAATGTAGAATTTTACCCTTTTAAAGAAAGTAAAATGTAGAATAACCCTTTCTAAGGAAACCCCACTACAAAATAGGACCATATAAGTCAATCAATTGTGAGAATATCCACAAAGCATTACCTATTTATTTCCATGCAACAGGCATGATCAAAAGCTGGTGAATTGCAATTTTGCAGCTAATGCTCAACGTAATGAATCAAAAACGAGGCATCATTTTGTAAACCTGGGAAGCTCATATCAATGAACAAAGGAAAATTGGGTCCCCTCAAATCTAATATATAGGGCACAACAGTGAGAACGACCCCCTAATAAGAACATAAAACATTACAATTCAGTTATGTGCGTGTATTGTAAATGACGTACCTGAGGAATATTTGTTTTTTTTACAATAATAATGTTTTAGTCATATAATGATCACAGGTTTAATGAAGAGTGAATTAGGTGTTTCGTTACAACGTCACAATCAATGGATTGGGCGATGGTCGCGCAACGTTGCTGCGAATGCAAATAATCACAAGGCCCCATTTCTTCTATTCTTTTTTCCATCTCTTCCCCATTATTTTTTAAAATTTACCAGTTGAGTACGTTCTAATGTATAAGGAGTTTTTGATGGAAATAATATACTACAAATGTTTTACTTGAAAACTAACTTCATCCCTTTAATTTAAAATTTATAATTTTGATATAATACATAGATACCTTTTAATTTGTTCTGATTTTCGACTACACACTTAAACTGTGATTTGTGAAAATTAGATCATTCTAGATCTCACGTTACACTCCCAAAAGAATAAAAAATTACACTTCTAACAAATTATGTCCTTATAGTTTACATATTTTGTAGAAGGAAATGACTATCTCATATTTTAATTTTTGGTCTGTAATGACCTAGCCAGTCGTTTTGAGCATTTGTATTTCGTTCGGCTATTTGAAGTCTTGAGTAACTTCAGATGATGTATTATGACTTGTGAGAATCGTCGGTTTTGGTTTCAGGTTCCTCGGGATGGATTTGGAAGAATGAATCTCATGTTAGAAGCTTTAAGTTGGAAGAGTCGACTAAGTTTGACTTTCATGTATTTGATCTCGGATCAGAATTTTGATAGTTCCTTTAGGTCTGGATAGTGATTTTGGACTTGAGCGTCTGCCCGGATTTGCATTTGGATGTTTCTAGAAGGTTACAGCATAATTTGGCGAAAGTCAACAATTTGGAGTTTTGGAATATTCATAAGTTTGATCAGGAGTAGACTTTGATGATATTGGGTTCAGATTGTTGTTTCGAGGATTGGAATAGATTCGTTACATTGTTTGAAACTTGTACAAAATTTGAGGTCATTCCGAATTGATTTGATATGGTTCGGCACGAGTTTTAGAAGTTGAAAGATCATTAAGTTCGTTTTGAGGTGCAATTCGTGATTTTGATGTGGTTATGTGTGATTTGAGGCCTCAAGTAGGTTCGTGTCGTGTTTTGAGATTTGTTGGTATGTTCGAACAGGGTCCTGAGGGCTCGGGTGAGTTTCGAACGGGGTTCAGACCATTTTGGGCCATGTTAGTACTGCTGGTTTTTGCTGGTTCTGGTCTTCTTCGCGTTCGCAAAGATTGAGTCGCGATCGCATAGTGCAATGAGGGTTTGTTTGATGTTTGTCTTCGCCTTCGCGCTTCAGAGATTGCATTCGCACTGGTTGAGGTTTTAAGTCTTCGCATTCGCGACCATGACTATGCGTTCGTGTAGTATTGGGTGGAGCTGGTCAGTCTTGATGGGTTCTTCATCGCGTTCACAATTGTTTTCCTGCGATCGCGGAGATCTTGCAATGTGCTTTATCACGTTTGTGACGGTATTGCCGTGAACGCGTAGAGTAAAGTGTGGCAGTGTGAGTTTATGCTTTGTGAACGCGAGGCTTATTCCGCGTTTGCTAAGGGTGCCCTTGGGCGGTGTATATGAATACTCTATTTCGGACCCTTGAGTTATTTTATCACACTAGTCTTAGAGTACGCGCGATGCACGTGTACATGGTGTTGAATAAACACTTCTTAAAACGGACATAAATATTATTTAAAAAATATGTCTTGCGAGTAAGATATTAGGATTCACAATGTCAGTTTACATTTTTCATCGTCAGTATGTTTGTACTTTAACTAAATATTTTCAAAGGTTTAATTCTAGTCTTTTATTAATTGTAGGTATATATTAACTCATTAATAATATTCTANTAAATGACTATTTTACCTAGTGTGAACTCTATTTTAAAAAAGTAAAAACACGAATGATATTTCGCTAAACATAGGGTGCCCACTTTGCATGTGTTCCCCTTGTCAATAAGTAAATAACTTCTTTAAAAATTACA